GTATATTACTTTATTAAAATGCTTAATGTGTGTATGCTTCAGTTTCTATATCCAGAAAATGGAGATAAACATCCTATCTACCTCTGTTTGTAAGGATTAAATGAGGCTTTGTCAATGGAAGGACTTCATAAATTTTAAAATGGCATGCAGGAGGGAGAGATTATTCTGACAGTGATGATGGTCTGAAAGGGATCTTATACATTCCTTGCAATCATGGTGGGTTTGCCACTGAGTTCATTTGCCCATGCAGCTTCTCTGTGGCTAGAATCATCTGGAAGGCCTGCAACTTGAGACTCTGATCCAGTGAAGAGCTTAAGAGATTCCTTCCTACTCTTGGCCAGGGATCAGCAAGCCTTTTCTATAAAGTTCCAGATGATTAATATGTAACGCTCTGTGGAGCCTTGCCGTGTGGTCACTGTCGCCCTACCTTGCCATTGTAACACAAGAGTAGCATAAACAACACCTAAAAGAATGGGTGCAGCTGTGTCAAATAGAACTTTATTTATGGACACAGAATTTTGAATTTCAGATAATTTCCATGTGTCATGAATATTCTGCTTTTGAATTCTTTAACATTAAAAATGTAAAGATCATCCCTAGCTCACAGGCCATACACAAACAGGCACCAAGTGAGGTTTGGCCTGCAGGCTCTAGTTCGCAAGTGTCTGCCTTACATGACATCTAGGAGCCACTCCTATGTCCAGGTAGCCGGTGAGTATCAGGGAAACCAAAGGGGCACATAAGTCATTTGAGCATGTGTCACAGGTCCTCCTCTGCCTGGTTGATGTCAAAACATGTGAAATTACAACACTGGGTTCTTGCCAAAAAATACAATCCAGAACTCTGCTATCTGACCCTATGAACATCCAGTAACAACAACAATGGCAACAATAATATTTATGGAGGATTGCCCACAGGACGTGCAACTTATTCATTTCTGTATACAATCTAACCTTCTCCCTCAAAGAAGCCTGACCTGTGATTGCTGTATTCATGGAGGATTCTGCCTTGGCCCTTTGCAGAATGTATCTTGATTCTGGGCTCTTGACCTGCACCAAGGGGCATCATTAGAAACAGCGGGTTTGAGTCACCATGGCATCTCAGCAGAGACGCCATCCAGGATGCCATCTACTCTGGGGAGAAATTCCCCTCATCGCCCATCCCTATATCAGGAAAAGCTGGGCATCTTAAAAACTAATTTTATTTTAGAAACAATGCCATTTCCTTGTTTGATTTGGCTTCAAGGAAGCTCAGAGTCTATTATACTTCAATCAGTTGTAAAATACCGTACAAAGTCATCAGCAGCTAAGATGTATGGAGTGCATAGTATGTGCTAAGCACCTTTCATGTAGTCCTTCTCACATAATCTTCACACAGCCCTTTGGGTAGGTAATATGTTCTCCCTATGATATTAGGCTAAATAATGGTCCCAAAAGATGTCTACCTCTTAATCCCTGAAACATGTGAATCTTATCTTATGTGGCAAAAGAGACTTTGCAGATGTGATTAAGGATCTTGAGTTGGGGAGATGATCCTAATCACAAGGGTCCTTACAGGAAGGAGGCAGAGGGAGCTTTGAAACAGAACAGGAAGGCCATGTGATGACAGAAGGAAGCAAGATGCTACACTGTCAGCTTTGAAAATGGAGGAAGAAGCCTCAGGTCAAGGAATGTAGCTATACAAGCTGGAAAAGAAAAGAAAGGGATTCTCCCCCAGAGCTTCTAAGGGAGCAAGGCCTAGGCCCTGCCCACCCAGTGAAATTGATTTTGGACTCTGACCACAGAACTATGCGTGCATGCATGTGTTGTTTTCAGTCACCAAGTAGAAATTTGTTACAGCAGCAACAGGAAACTAATACACCCTCCTTACAAACAACAATGTGAGATCTAGAGTGTGGCCCAAGATTAGAATGAGCTTTGCTGACTCCAGATTCTAAGCTCTTAACTCTCATGCTGCCTCATCTGTTACATGTGTCCTAACCTTTCCTGCCTTTATGATTTCCCCTTAGCTAACTCAGGCAAGTTTAACAAATTATATAGACTGCAGGGCTTAAACAGCCAACATTGATTTCTCAGAGTCCTGGAGGATGGAAGTCTGAGATCAGGGAGCCAGCAGGGGCAGGTTCTTGGTGAGGGCTCACTTCCTGGTTTACAGACAGCCACCTTCTGATTGTGTCCTCATGAGGTGAAAAGAGGGAGATCTCTGTCCTCTTCTTTTAAGGGTATTAATCCCATTTATGAAGTCTCCACCCTCATGACCTAGTCACCTCCTAAAGGCCTCATCTCCTTATACTGTCACACTGGTATTAGGGTTTAACACGAATCTTCAGGGGACACAAACATTCATAGCACTTTCCCTTATGCTTCCCCTCACACTGCTTCTTCCACTGCTGCCTATTTCCCCTTCTAATCATAAGTATTTCTGTCATCTCCTCACATCTTCGTGTATATGCTGGAGGCAGCATATAAATAAATACATTGGTGGCTGTTTGTGGTGTGTGCATGGGGTGGAGTCCCTGGGCTTTTGTAACCCTGGGACTTGTGATTTAGCAGACCCAAGGCCGTGATTGTGTTTGTTCCTCCTTTTGCTTTAGTAAAGAAAGTGGCTCTCTTCTTTCCTTTGTCACTGACAGTTGGCCAGGTCAGGACTTCTGCTTTTTCAGAAAACTATGCTTACTTCCTAGTCAGTATTCAGAGCCCAGTAACTGCTTGTGAATTTCCCTTCTCAAGGTTATCAAGACTGCGGAAACGATGTCAACTCAGGCCTTAGTGGTTTCTTTCCTGAATTATTGCTCCACCTGGAGAAAACCTTATTTTCAGCCTCAAATAGCTTCCAATTCAAAATCTACACTCCTGTTTACTGCCTGAGGATCTTTCCAAAATGCAACCTCTTCCTGGCCAAAGAGAGGCAGCCCACCATTGTATGGGGTCCTGCTCATATCTCCCACTTCCTCTTTCAGCCCTTTGTGTTTTCAGCTCTCCCGCAGTTCCCTGAACCCTGTGCCTGGTCCCATTTTCCTACCTTCACACGTCATTATCTCTGCCAAACTTCTCCCTTCACCCCTCCTTTAGTCCACTTTGCCTGCTGATGAAACTCTAGACCACAGGGAGTTTTAGAGCATGGGCTCTGGAGTCAGGCAGGCTGGGGATCAATTTGTTTTAATTCCATCAATAGTTCCTCAATTTCTTACCTTCTCTGTGACCCTGGGGATATGTTTCTGCCATTATTAGCTGTGTGGCATTGGAAAAGTTAACTATTAATGACATCTTTATCCCTCAGTTTACACATCTGCAACATAAGAATGATATGTGAAAAGCACTTAGCATGGTGGCCTCTACCAACATGAGGTGCTATCATTACTATTTTAATCAGTCTTCAAGCCTCAACTTAGGCTTGGTGACTCCTTTCCCAATAGATGCAGATGCCAACCTCACCATCTTCTGACTACCATGTCACTGGTGCACAATGCCTGCTTTCACTACAGCCTTTCACACAAAGCATTTATCCTGTTGCTAAACTGTCTGATCTTCCCACCCTTTGGATGAGAACTGCATCTCTTCCATCTCTAATTCTGAGTGGCTTGGCTAAGACATTCACTGACTTCATGCAGCAACTTCACCTACAGAGGAAAGAGCCATCCTCCGGTGGGCAGGTGATGTGTCCTTGTTCTTTCCCTGACATGCCCAGTCCTCTTGCAAGTGACTTGAAAGGATGCACCGGCCTGGCTGCAGGCAGAGCGGGAGTCTGGGAGACAGATCAGCTGTGGCAACCTTTTATTCAAGGATGAATTGGAAAAACCAACCCTGACCAGTCCATTTATCTCACATCTTGCTTCTTATCCTGCACCAAAAATGAATGGGATACTAGTGGTTCTGACCCCATGGGAAAACCTAGAGTGACAACATCAGCACTGCCAGCATCCAGTCATTCATTCTCTTTTACTTATTTTTAATTTGTGTGTGTGTGTGCACTTCAATGTCCCTTATTTTTAAAAGAGTAAGGTCAAATTGAACAAATGGCCCTGGTGACTAGAGTGACCATCTGGACCTCTCTGGGCAGCTCTTTGGGTGGCAGTTGTAGGATCAGGTACTCGTTCAAGCACCACAACCCCAGCTTAGAGTGAGACCAATTCAGATGCTTAATCAACTTCTCTTTCCTACCTCCTGCAGTTCAAATGGCATTTTGCCCCCATCTCCCTCCAAAGTGGCAGATATCACAATGCCATGCATTTGCACAAGCCAGTCCCTCTAACAGCAGATGTGATCCTGAGGCTGGGCTCCTGAGTTGCTCCCCACTTGGGAGCCCTGTATGGGATGAATTGCATCCCCTCAAATTTATATGTTGAAGTCCCAACCCCCAGTACAGTAGTGCCCCCTTATCCAAGATTTCACTTTCCAAGGTTTTGGTTACTCTCAGCCAACTGCAGTCCAAAAATATTAAATAGAAAATTCCAGAAATAATTCGTGAGTTTTTCATGGAGCATCCTTCTGAGTAGCATGATGAAATCTCATGCTGTCCAGCTCCATCCCACCAGGAACATGAATTGTCTAAAATATCCATGTTGTCTCTACTACCTGCCTATCCGTCGCTTAGTAGCTGTCTCATTTATTGGGTCCAAAAAACATAGTATATGTAGGGTTCAAAATGATCTGTGATTTCAGGCATCCACTGGGGGTCTTGGAACATATTCCTAGCAGACTGGGGGGACTATGGTACCTTAAAATGTGACTGTATGTAGAGATAGGGTCTTTTATTTATTTATTTATTTACTTTCATTTATTTATTTATTTATTTTTTTAGACAGAGTTTTGCTCCTGTTGCCCAGGCTCAAGTACAATTGCACGATCTTGGCTCACTGCAACCTCCACCTCCTGGGTTCAAGTGATTCCCCTGCCTCAGCTTCCCAAGTAGCTGGGATTACAGGTGCGTGCCACCATGACCTGCTAATTTTGTATTTTTAGTAGAAACGGGGTTTCACCATGTTGGTCAGGTTGGTCTCGAATGCCTGACCTCAAGTGGTCCACCCTCCTCGGCCTCCCAAAGTTCTGGGATTACAGGTGTGAGCCACCACGCCCTGCTGGAGGTAGGGTCTTTAAAGAGCTGATTAAGCTAAAGTGAGGCCATGAAAGTGGGCCCTAATCTGATATGATTGTATCCTTAGAAGAAGAAGAGATGAGGACACAGATGTACACAGAAGGAAGAGCACATGAGGAGACAGGGAGATGTCACCTAGAAGCAAAGGAGAGAGGTCTCAGGAGAAACCAGCCCAGCTTCCACAGTTGTGAAGAAATAAATCTCTGTTATTTAAGCCCCCAACCTGTGGTACTTTGTTATGGCAGCCCTAGCTGACTAAGACACAGCCCAGTTGGTTGGTTCTGACACTTCTTACCGCAGTTCACTGCATTTTCTTCACTGAATTGCAATTTATCTGTTGGCATATTGGGTTGGCCCGCTGGGGTGACAGGCCTGGCTTACGCACTTTTATTATCTCTAGCACTGAGAAACCCTGGCATTGATAGCTGCACGCGAAGTGTTTGCTGAATTCATGAGAGCTGCTCCTGCAGTGAAAGCTCTGCAAGTGTCCAGAGAGGGACAGGAATCTTCTCTTTGGGCAGGAGTGATCTTTTCACTTCACTTGCAAAGTACATCAGATGGGAAGGTAGCCCAGGTGTACAGTGTTGGGGAAGGGCCTACTGGAAGTTTCTTTCCTAATTTTCAACTGGTGAGATTTGATGATTTGGTAGACTCACTGATCATTTTGTTCTTTTTTGGGTTCTGTGGTGTTAGTAAATGACTATATTTATATTCAAGTTCTCTGTCTTGTACTCTTCGTCGCTCTGCCATTCTCTCTTCCACTCCCAGCCCCAGCCCCACCTCTCCTTCTCCCAAAGGCTCCCAGTGGCCCTCCCAGACTTGCTGCAGGTGGAGAAAGTGTTCGGCTGCTGGTCCCCTCTCCCCTCACCCACCCCAGCTGAGCACTAACAGCTCACATCTGTGGACCTTACTTTCCCCATAAACACACATGGGTGTGCTGTAAGGGCTTACCGCAACTCTGGTAGAGCACTTCTAAGCCGCTGTCACTGCAGACCGTGTGTGTGGGCCAGGCTCTCCCACCGCTGCCACCACTGCAGCTGGGAAAAATCAGAGTCCCGAGGAAGAGAGCAGCTGTGAAACCCTTCATGGTGAGGGCCTGTGTGGGATACACAGAAAAATAACCGGCCAACAAAAAGCCCATGAAGTTTCTTCCTCTCCCCTCACCAAGGCGGTGGGATGTTCAGTTTCACTTCTCAAATTTTAGGCTCTCTGGGAACCACAGTCAGAAGTAAAAGGCAGTGAGCAGAGGCATTTGATACTGTTCCCCCAGGACCTTGAATCTACAGGTGAGGCTGGTCTATTCTGGGGTAGGATGCTGGTCTATTTCTGGTCTATTTCTGGGGTAGGTGTTGACTTTCTGCTTTCACAGGGAGAGGGGCAGTAGTGATGCGTGAACTTACCTCTCGGGGCTCCTCAGAACAGCCCAGGTGAGGTTGTAATCTTGGGAAAGACAAAGCACAGGCCACCATCTGTTTCCCATCTCCAGCCCCCGTGTCTCTGCAGGGTTCCGATCCAGGCTGTGTGTGGACCAGGGACCTGGCTGCAGCCAGCAGGCAGCAGTTGATAGCAAGAGGGTTGCAGAATGATATTTGGAATCTGGAATGAGGCTTTGGCCCTATTGCCACTTTTGTCTCCTCTGGCTCTGGCTCTGCTCTTCGGTTTGGGATTTTAGCAGTGAATTGTCCAGCTGCAGAACAGACCTTGTTTTGGGAGCTGCAGATGTGGTCTCTGAAGTTGAGGCAGAGGCAGTAGCCCTGAGAAGTGAGCCGTGTTCTATTTGTGGGTTTGGCTTGGTAGAAAAGGCAGGAAGGGTGGGGAGGTGGGGCCTCCCTTAACGAGGCTGGTTTAATGGTTTTGGTGTTAGCGGGATCATTGACATCACATCTCACTTTCTCTTCAAAGCCAAGATTCTGTCTTCCTTCTTCCATGTGTCTCCGTTCTGCTGCAGGACAGCAAGGTTTCTCAGTCTTGATTCCCCAACCCTGCCCCAGCTCCACCTTAGTGGAAGAGGACCAGAGTCAGTGCCAAGGTCAGCAGATTTCAGGAGCAACAGAAAACACGTTTCCTTGGGAGGAACGGCATTTTTCTGAATGCACTAGGTAAATTTACTATTTCTGCTGATGGCTAATCAAAAATGAGAGTCAGCTCAGAACTTTTCTTGAAATAGGTGGAACTTAATTACCAATAAAGTAATTGGTAAATAATTTGGATTTCTTGACAGACATCAGAGAGTAGTCATTTGGAGAAGGAGCAGCTCTGGATTGGTTATTTTTAGGTGCCTCTGCAGGTAAGTTCAGTGATGTTGGCTTTCAACAGCAGTTCTCCAAGCGCGGCCTAAGAAGATGACAGTCTCAGCTTCCACTGGGGGCTTGTTAGAGATGCAAATTCTGGGCTACTCACAAGACCTACTAAATCAGAAACTCTGGGGGTGGGACTCACCATTCTGGAGTTTCACAAGCCCTCCAGGTGTGCCTGATGCAGTCTCAAGCTTGAGAACTGCTGACTTTTACAGAACACAAAGCGAGGGTTGAGCCCCAAGGGAGTGGTAGGACGTTGCTCTAAGAGGAGACAAGGTAGCCCCTCTGGCCTGCATGAGCGGAAGGCAGCTATGCTGTGAGCAAGATCTCGGGAGACGAGTCTGAAGCTCATGGTGAGAGTGGGGGCCCTGGTGGAAGGGTGGTTGCCCCTAGTAGGTCCAGGATGGAACACAGAAGCTTTCCCTTGGGATATTTGAGTGCTCCAGCAGTTGTAAAGAGAGCTCTGAACATGTGAGTGAGGAGAGCAATTGAGGGTGACACCTTCCTTCCCTGCAAAGTGCGTGATGATTGACACTGGAGGAGGAGCCCAGGAGTGCAGGGCAGGAAGCAGACAACCTGGCAGAGAGCTGTGAGCAGCTGTGGCAGGAAAACGGTCTTTCTGGCAGTCTGTTCTGGCTGCCGTAACAGAAATACCTTAGCCTGGGTGGCCGAAATGACCAGCATTTCTTTCTCACCATTCTGGAGGGTAGAGGTCCAAAGTCAGAGATTAAGGTGCTAGAAGATTCGGTGTCTGCCGAGGGGCTTCTGGTTCACACATGGTGCCTTCTGGCTGTGCCCTCACATGGTAGAAGGGCCGAGGGGTTTCTCCTAGGTCTCTTTTATAAAGGCACTAATCCCACTTATGAGAGCTCCATTCTTATGACCTAATTGCTTCCCAAAGGCTCTACCTCCTAACAACATCACCTTGAGGCTTAGGATTTCAATATATGAGTTTGGGCGGGGACACAAACATTGGCTTTATTGAAGAAACCAGGCCATCTGAAGACAGGGCTATGGATTTCTGAGAATCAAAAGACCTGGAAATGAAAGGAATCATAATTCAGGGATTGCACTAGGATTTAGAAATATTCCATATGGACCAATCAGGAACCTTGTGATCATGGTGACCCTAGGACAGTGGTCTTCAGGGCATCAGCATCAGCTGGGGGACTTGTTAACATGAGCAGATTGCTGGGCCCTACACCAGAGTTTCTGTTCCTCTGTGTCTGGTGAGGCCTGAGAATCTGTGTTTCTAACATGTTCCCAGGTGATGCCAGTGCTGTTGATCTGGGGTCACATTCTGAGGACCTCTGGTTTAGCTTATAGAATTTGGTTGTTTGCAGAAAGTACAATTAAAAAAACTCTTCTTAATAAAATGTTTCATTTTATGACAGATGGCATTTCATATAACCCATATATAACACACCCAAATGGGATAAAAGAGTAAGCCACATTCTCCAAGGAATTCTACGTACTGGTTCTGCCTACTGAAAATGGGATTTGGTTGAAATCATTAGTCATGGCCCATCTAGTTCAGAAATCAACCCGTAATGATGTCTTGAAGAGTTCTTTAACTAGAACCTTTAGAAAGACAGCCAAAGCGTTCTTTGAGAATGTCCTGTTCCCTAATTATAGAATAAAATTAGAATCAGTTTATGATAGTTATTTAAAATATGGTTATGTCTATGTAATGGTAACCAAACACAAACATACTGTCAGGCTTTGATGCTGACTTCTAATCTCTTAGCAAGCTGTAGCTGAAGAAGCGGTGCTCTGGTCTCATTCAGATTTCTCTTCTACTTTTTGGACAATCCTCCTCTTCTTCCATGTCTCAGGCTGCTCTCCATACACACACACACACACACACACACACACATATACACACATATATATATACACTTTTTTTTTTTTGAGATGGAGTCTCGCTCTGTCACCCAGGCTGGAGTGCAGTGGCGCAATCTTGGTTCACTGCAAGCTCTGCCTCCTGGGTTCACGCCATTCTCCTGCCTCAGCCTCCTCAGTAAATGGGACTACAGGCGCCCGCCACCACGCCCGGCTAATTTTTTTGTGTTTTTAGTAGAGACGGGGTTTCACCGTGTTAGCCAGTATGGTCTCGATCTCCTGACCTCGTGATCTGCCTGCCTCGGCCTCCCAAAATGCTGGGGATTACAGGCATGAGCCACCGTGCCTGGCATATGTGTGTGTGTGTGTGTGTGTGTGTGTGTGTGTGTGTGTGTGTACAAAATTTTTATTTTATTTTATTTTATTTTATTTTTTTTGAGATGAAGTCTCACTCTGTCACCCAGGCTGCAGTGCAGTGGCATGATTTCAGCTCACTGCAACCTCTGCCTCCTGGGTTCAAGTGATTCTCCTGCCTCAGTCTCCCGAGTAGCTGGGATTATAGGCACGTACCATCATGTGCAGCTAAGTTTTGTATTTTTAGTAGAGACAGGGTTTTGTCATGTTGGCCAGGCTAATCTTGAACTCCTAACCTCAGGTGACCCACCCGCCTCAGCCTCCCAAAGTGCTGGGATTACAGACGTGAGCCACTGCCCCCACCCTTGCTTTCCTTTTATAGAGGTCTTCTTGGGGATGGTGCCTTTCTTTTCTTGCAGAGTAAAAATATTCTTATCAAGATGACCATCCCTAAAGCTGTTCTTAAGGAGAAAATGTTTGTTTGTGGAGAGACTTTAAGAATCAAATGTGAGACTCTGGGGGCAGAAGTCCAGTACGTATGTAAGCAAGTAAGGGTGAAGCTGTGTCACAAGAGAAAATACAATACTCCATGGAGTGAGGGGAGAAAAAAGAAAGGACTAGGGGAAAAGAGGAGAGGAGAAGAGGAGAGGAGGGAGAGGAGGGGTAAGCAGGTGAATGGTTGGTGTGGAGTGGAGGGAAGCAGCCTGCCAGCAGGTGGGACAAGCAAAGGTCCCTTAGGAACAGATTCTGCATTATTTCCTGTGCAGTGTGCAATGTGACAGCCCTCTCCTCTCTGTGACCCACAAAAGTTTAGAAGAGACTTAACAGCTAGGAATGCTCTCTATGTGCATGCGCATACACACACGGGAGAAAAGGCCAGAGCTTCATGCTTGCGTCAGTGTGGTGTGCAATAGAACTGACGGCCGTGGCAATACGCCCTCCCTTGGGAAAGTGATTCAATAGCTGGGTGAGCATCCCACTTCCCTAGGACAGGGAAGGGGGTTTGGGCCAATGTAACCTACATTACATGTGCCAGTAGATGGCAGACAGTCCTAACTATTCTTTGACGCTACACAATGATGATGTAGCACTCTGTCTCCAGTGCAAATGTACCTTCCTCATCATTTGTATTCAGCTGTGGGTGCTCTCCTCTAATTTCCCTCAGATCTTTATCATATTAGGCAAAAATTTCCCTTTGCATAGCGCTGCCACTTTGCTTTTTTTCCTGTGGCCTGTCTCTGAGTTTCTGCCACACTGCAGTGGAAAGAGACAGGTTTGATGACATTCTGTCTTTGTCTTCTAGATCAGGGGTCCCGACCCCCTGGACCACAGACCAGTACTGGTCTCTTAGGAACTGGGTGACATGGCAGGAGGTGAGTGAAGCTTCATCTTTATTTACAGCTGCTTTCCATTGCTCGCATTACCACCTTAGCTCTGCCTCCTGTCAGATCAGCAGCGGCATTAGATTCTCATAAGAAAGCAAATCCTATTGTGAACTGTGCATGCGAGAGATCTAGGTTGCACACTCCTTATGAGAATCTAATGCCTGATGATCTGTCACTGTCCCCCATCACCCCCAGATGGGACCATCTAGTTGCAGGAGAACAAGCTCAGGCCTCTCATTCATTCTGTATTATGGTGAGTTGTATAATTATTTCATTATATATTATAATGTAATAATAGAAATAAAGTGCATGATAAATGTAATGCACTTGAACCATCCTGAAACTACTCGCCACCCACCCTCCTATCCACGGAAAAATTGTCTTCCACAAAACTAGTCTCTGGTGCCAAAAAGGTCGGGGACTGCTGTTTTAGATTGAGTGCAACCTGAGAACTGCTCCCCTCCTGTGTAGGAGTCAGGAAACCATGCTACTTCCTGTGTAACACTGTTTCACAGCCCCCTTGACTGACTGCTGAAGTTTTACTTTTTAGTTAGTTTCAAACCCTGTGTTATATAGGCTACACAAATATTTTGTGGAATTGATGCCAGTCTACAGAGCTTTTCGGTAGAGTCTTTCTCTCGATCTCTCAGACTTCTGGAAGATTCACTCCACAGAAAATGTGAGATGCCCCAAAGTTGCTTGGGCTCTTGATGTCACATACTCTGTGTATGTATTTGATAGAAATGTATAGAAATCAACTATATGCTTTCTACACAACTAGGAAAAATTCTTCTGTCTGTCTACTTGCTTCAGGTTCTCCCACTCATTTATCTAACAAATATTTATTAAGCACCTCCGAAATGTCAGCTACAGTTCCCAGCACCAGGAATACAGCAAAACAAAGTTCTTGTTCTCATGGAGATTACCTTCTAGTGGAAAAAGACAGACAATAACATTTTTAGTACAATTGTTTAATGAAAGAGAAGGGACTTTGCTTTTTGAAAGGCTTCTTGGGTTTCCCAAGGAAAATTGGAGTAAGTGTTCTGAAATATTTTCAGCTGGCTGTTTATTGTGTATACACAATAAGCTTTTTTTCTTTGATTTGCTCCAGACTGGTAGCTCATCAGGGTTACCAATAACTGTTTGCTCCAATGGACAAACTGTAGCAGGCCTATCTGGGACACTACCCTTTCCTTATTTCCTTGTTTCCCCATTTGTTATTAATATTTCATTATTCTAAGGACATACTATGCAAAGTACTTGCTTTTCAAATAAGTCTACATATACTATGGCAAACTACAAACAGAAAGGTTTTTGTTGGTGTGAGGAACACGTATGCTGGGCCAGGAAAGAGGTGAGCATTTATAGATCAGTCTGATCAATTTTCCAGTGATGAAAAGAGCAACACATTGCAGCATTCGATTAAGGTCAAAGAGATTGCTCTGAGCTTCAGAGAGGGGAGCGGTAGCATGAAAAGACTGACAACCATTGTATAAAATTCTTCTGCAGCATGGGACAAATTAGCAACTTGTAGCTACGACTCTGTTCCTCAAATTGAGAACGCTCTCAAGATCTCACCTTGATAAGATTGAAGTGATTTCAGTAAGTCGAAGGAAAAACACTGGGGAGGGAACCAGAAATGGGATGAAGAATGCAAAGAGTTCTTTTACATGCTATGAAGAAGGGGTACTTACTTGCTGTTGTAGGTAGGATCCCAGGCTCTGGCTTCACTGTGTCCCTCCAGTTCTGGCTAATTCCAGAACTTCTGGCTGCCATTATGGGATTTGCACTTGCCATGTTTAATTCAAAGTGTTGGAGAGCCTGTTTTGCTCGACTGGCAGGTGGTATTTGGAATAAAATAATTTACTTTTCTCTGGATCAGACCATTGGGGATGTTCTTGAGTTCTCTCTCCTGGCAGCGGCTGGCAGATCCACCCAGAATTCTTCTGAAGAGGTCTGATGAGGTCTTTCTATTTCAGAATTCTTCTGAAGATGTCTTTTAATTCCCTGAAGTGATAAACATCCCAGCAGTAATTTTGACATACAAATAATGACCTTTGAAGTAGCCTGTGTTTTTTCTTTTTTGGAATGAATAAGAATATCTGAAATGCACTTCTGTTATGTCTCAGTCATTCTTCTATGTGCTTTCCATGTATTCTTTGATCCATTTCATCCTCACAGCGGCCTTACAAGGTAAACACAGTTCTGTCATCCACTCCTTGCCCCACCTCCCTACCCAACCCCTGGCTCTGCAACTCTGAAATAAATTCCAAAGTCTTCCAAGTCTGCAGAGGAGCAAATTTTTTTTTAAAGGTAGTTCTTTTGGTGGAAAAATTTCATCTAAACTGATGAGACTGTTTATAGTTTTAATTTATCTCACCTGGGTGTAGTTCACTTTGTTTCGCTGCGGACTATCAATGATTGATTTGTGGTTAATGGGTACTGCACCAGACTCTGTTACGGGTGTTATAAAATGTAAACTCTGTCACCTTTCTGAAATCAAGAAATTCTGATTTATAAAATGCATCTGTACCCAAGGATTTCAGGGAAGGGATTCCTGGGCCTGTTGTATGATGATTCTTGTTCTTCTGATGAGGAAACTGAGGCATACTGAGTGACGCATCCAAGATCACACACACAGTAGGGCCACTGGAGGTCAGACAGTGAAACTCCCATCTTAAGTTCTTGGTCTCTGAGAAAACGGCCTCTTTCCTACTACGCCCAGTGGTTTGCTTATCTTCTACTGTAGTGATATCCCAAAAATGACCCTCAAGCGTTTGGAAACTGGTGGGACTTGGACCATGTAGCTTCAAGAAGCAGGTCTGCCCCATGCTTCTGTCTCTCTCAGATGGAGGGAGAGAGGAAAGGGTGAGGGGAGGGGGCTCAAAGTGAATGGCCTGTGTGGGCTTGTAGGCCTGGGCTGAATCTTGTCTCTACTCTGTGGTATTGGTAGGTCACATAAGTTACATTCCCTTAATGTAGGTTAATTTACCGACAAAAAAGTCAGTCATAATCAATAAATGGTAACTGTTTTATTACTCTTTTTATTTTTGGAAGAATCTAGATATCTGGAGGTGCCTTAAAGCTGAAAACTTCTTTGTAATCTAGTGTGCAGACTCAGCTGGGGCCAGGTCCTGCACTGTGAGGGACTACATGGATGAACCTATGTGATACACAATAGCTTCTCATTAGAAATGTAAAATAGCCACGGAAAACAGGACTCAGTTCAGAAGAGAGAGGTTTGGCAGATGGCTCCTGGAGGAGTCTGATAAGTGGTGCTTTTCCTGTCTCCACTGCACACGGATGAAAACAAAGGGTCAGATGATTTCACGGCACGCTGCTTCATAGACACAAATTGAGCTCTCTGATGTTACTTTGAAGCTTGGATATGTGGGCTCCAATTGTAAGGTTATTGATGAACAAAGTAGGCTTTCAGCAGAGAGTGGAAGGGGAAGCAATTTGTACTTTTCAGAGAAAATGGTGCTTCATTGGCTGTGGCCTCTGCTCACCTAGAATTTGAATCATAAAGTCTCTGGTCCTGAGCTGTCACTTCTTGCCCAAAAAACTAGTTTTTCTTTTGTTACTGTTTTTGTTGTTGTTTCTTTGTTTTAGAGATGGAGTCTTGCTCTGTTGCCCAGGCTAAAGTGCAGTGGTGTGATCATAGCTTATTGCAGCCTTGAACTCCAGGGCTCAACTGATCCTCCCACCTCAGGCTCCTGAGTATGACACTAAAGGCATGCACCACCATGCCTGGCTAATGTATTTTCTAGAGACGAGGTCTTGCTGTCTTGCCCAGGGTGGTCTCAAGCTCCTGGCTTTAAGCAATCCTTCTCCCTGCCCTGGCTCAACCTTCCAAGTAGCTGGGACTACAGGTGTGAGTCACTGCACTCAATCTTTGTTACCGTTTGGAAGTGTGAGATTGGAAACTCCCCATCAAAGTCACTGAAAAATAGTATTTCCACTTGATATGGTTTGACTGTGTCCCCACCCAAATCTCATCTTAAAATTTCACGTGTTTTTGGAGGTAATTGAATCATGGGGGCAGGTCTTTCCCATATTGTTCTCGTGATAGTGAATAAGTCTCACTAGATATGGTTCTCTAAGGGGGAGTTTCCATGCACATGCTCTCTCTTTGCCTGCTGCCATCCATGTAAGACATGACTTGTTCCTCCTTGCCTTCCACTATGATTGTGAGGCCTCCCCAGCCATGTGTAACTGTAAATCCATTAAACCTTTTTCCTGTATAAATTACCCAGTCTCTGGTATGTGTTTATTGCAGTGTGAAAACAGACTAATACACCACTTCATTCCACCCGTGTGTCACCGCCCTAGATAGGACTCCTCATGGTCTCCTGGGACCCACCATGGCCCCCTCCCAGATCCATTCTCCAGTCTACACCCAGAGCTATCCTGTCTGAAGGCGCGTCTGCTAAGGGATGCCCTGCCAAAGCCTCTTAGTGCCCCCTGCATGTGACTTTGAGGCCTCGCATGCTTTAGTCTCTTCCCATCCAGCCTCCCTGGCTGTGGGTGCTCCAGCCTTGCTGCCTGCTCTCCCCTGCCCTGGCATCTCTAGTGCCTATCCTGGAATGCCCTTCCTTACCCCTTCTTTGCCATGTCCTTGAGAGTTCAACTCAGTGCTTGCTTCCTGAAGAAAGATGCTCTGTCAGGGCTGGGCAACTCCCACTAAACTCAGCTCCTATAGCCCTGTGACCTTGCCTCTGCCTAGCATGACTCAGAGTCAGTCATCTGATGAAGGTCAGACTCCTGCATGATATGCCAGGGAAGTTTTCTTCCTCCCCACTTTATTCCCATCCTTCCTTCCTTCCTTCTCTTCCTTTCTCTTTCCACCCTCACTATTGTGTGCCCTATGCCTACCACATAATAGGTATTTGGTAAGATATTTTAGGCTAAATGGACAAAATATAGAGGATGAGGACAGCCCCACAAACTTGCCTTTCTGGCTGTGCCACTGGACCTCTGGATTTGGCAGGCAGGGCAAAGTAAGGTGGGGCAAGGGGCTTCCCTCCCAGGCAGTCTGGCCCCCAGGAAGTTAACAGAGTGTGGGTGTCATCTTCCCCTGAAAGTAGATCACAGTTCCTTTTTCCTCTGTTTTTGCTT